AGTAGTAGAGGTTTACAATTTGCACAAAATTAAAAACATCAAGACGTGTGTTTGTATATTATAACAACTGTCATAATCATGATGAACGGAGGTAACAAAGGAGTTAATTAGCAGTTCATCAAATTGTCAGCTTATTACACATTCATGGAGCTAAACTTTTAAGCTCGTTTTTGTTATTTTTACCTTATTTATCTGAATAGAAACGTACTAAGTGCTTCAAAATGGCACAAATCCTTTTTTATGTCAAATATATTTATATTAAGTACACAATGTTTGTTTTTTACTAAGAGAAAAATCACTGAAGTACTTATTGGTTAATTTTATGGAATTTTATTTAATGAGTTTTTTGCAATAAAACCATGATATGTTCTAAAGAATGCAATGAAATAATTTATAATCGAAATACATTTACATTTATAAAAAAACATTAAATATTAATATTTATTAAACATTAGACAAAAATATTTACCCTAATCCTTCTAAATTGATACGAAGCTGGGTCATAACTTAATAGCATCAGGAATCATCTCCATTCAAAAAAATGTTCGGTAGCAACGAAAGATGCAGTTTACAGGAAATCCACTCAAATTGTTTGAATGGAGGCTAGGATGAGAAAAAATAATCAAAAATTGTCTTCACATAAATTATATATGTTTATGGCATTAATAATATACTTGCAGTTAACTAAAAGATAAGTTTAAAAATTTGTCAAGAAATAAATTCAATTCGTTCAGAATTTTTAAAATATAATTTACAATTATACAGGGTGTTTCAAGGTTAAGTGGCCTAACTGCAAAAATGAACAAAAATTTCCTCTGAAGGTATGTCTGTAAACACTTTGTTTAGGAGATATTCACACCTAAAGATTTTCGTTGTTATGAATTATTTACATTATATGAAATAAATAAAACCTATTTGTTCTAACTAATTAAATGTAAACATTAAGATTCATATTAAATGTTGTTCAAAGTGAAGGTATGTATTGCGCTATTCATTAGGCGTTTAAGTACGGCTTCAAGTTCCCCTGAGAGTCCACTGTACACCATACAACCATAACCAAAGTAGGGAAAAACAAGAGAGGAAAAAAGGGTAGGAGATAAGAAGGAACTCTGTGGACTGCCTCTGGACAAGGATAAAGACTCTGATGGGGGAATATTAGAGAATACAACATGCTGGGAGCGACCAGAGAAAGGATTGGAACCAATTAAGCCCACTTAAAGACAAGAAGATATTTTTCAAGTTTGGTAAGCAGGATATAGTGATCTACTGAGTCAAAGACTTTGGAAAAATCAAGAATAAGGATGGTGGGTTTCTGTTGGTCTATAGCTGTGTGGGGATCTTGGGAAATCATAATGAGGACAGAATAAATAGAGTAGTCAGGTCTAAAACCGGATTGGTGGCAGTTCAGAAGGTTATTTTATTCGAGATAGTGGGATAATTGGAATTGAACTAATCATTCTAGAGGCTTGGAAAGGTTAGACAATACGGAAATTGGGAGGAAATCATTAGGGGTTGCAGGATTGGAGGTTTTATTCAGCAAACAAAGAAGATCAGTTTCCAGGTGCTGAGGAAAGTGGAACTTTGCAAAGAGAAGTTATAAATATGATAAAAGATAGAGAAAATGAAGGGAAGTGAGGATTTAATCAATTTACACAAGATGTTGTCTGGTCCAAAATCATTAGTTTGGGATTTACGAATGGAATTAGGGAAGTCATCTGGAGTAATATGGGAAAAGAAGAAATCATTGGGATTAGTGGAGGGAAGAATAGGAGCTGGAGTTGTCACAAGGAAAGAGAATCGGAGAGGAAGGAAACAAAGTGAGTATTGAGTACGTCAGCTGAAATAAGGATAGACTGGGTTTGGATAGATTTACCTAAGGACAGTTTACAGAGGCCAGGCCATTTAGCTTTAGAATTTAGAGTGCTGGACAGGGATTGATGGAAATTAAGGTTTGAGAAGGATATAGTTTGGGGGGAGAAAAATGGGAATAGTATATTGTAGGATAAGATCATGGGAAGATAGGAATGGAACTGGATACTGAGATGCATCAAGGAGTTTTTCTGAGGAATCAAGGATAAACAGACCGAGACAGGACTCCAAAAACTGGGAGTTGGAGTTTGGGGCACTATGTAGATGCCAAGGGAATTGAGGAGGATTGTTAGGTAAGAATAATTAGAGGATGGAGGGCGACAGCTGACTGTAAAGAGAAGGGAAGACGAGGTGGTGAGCATTTCAGCAAAAAGATATTCAAGGTGAGGAGAATCGGTCGGAGAAGAGTAATTGAGGATTTTGGATTTATGGTTGTCATGAACCAAGACACCAACGCCACCACCCGTTCGGTCCAGTGTCATGACGAAAGATAGTACAAATGGGTAAAGAAATCTGAGAAGACGGGATAATATGAATAGAGTTAAACGAATAAACAGCCTTCATACTTGTAGAAACAATAAGGCTGTTTGTCCATTCAAACCCTGTATTTAGAGAAGGCTGTTTGTCCATTCATATCCTTCATTTAGTCAAATGAAATTGCATGCAACTTGAGATCATTGAGTGTGCCTTGTTATAGGGGCAGATGAAAGTGGGTTCTGCACATCTTAATATGCCCTTATAACAATTCCTCACCCATTTTTTAACATTTGGCTAGGTTGTCTTTCTTGGGAAGTTTAACGAGTAGCATCTTCTTCTAATCAACGGACAAACAGCCTTCACACTTGTAGAAACAAGAAGGCTGTTTGTCCATTCATATCCTTCATTTAGTGAAATGAAATTGCATGCGACTTGAGATCATTGAGTGTGCCTTGTTATAGGGGCAGATGAAAGTGGGTTCTGCACACTTTAATATGCCCCTATAACAATTCCTCACCCATTTTTTAACGTTTCGCTAGGTTGTCTTTCTTGGGAAGTTTAACGAGTAGCATCTTCTTCTTATCAACGGACAAACAGCCTTCACACTTGTAGAAACAAGAAGGCTGTTTGTCCATTCATATCCTTCATTTAGTCAAATGAAATTGCATGCGACTTGAGATCATTGAGTGTGGCTTGTTATAGGGGCAGATGAGAGTGGGTTCTGCACACTCTAATATGCCCTTACAACAATTCCTCACCCATTTTTTTTAACGTTTCGCTAGGTTATCTTTCTTGGGAAGTTTAACGAGTAGCATCTTCTTCTTATCAACGGACAAACAGCCTTCACACTTGTAGAAACAAGAAGGCTGTTTGTCCATTCATATCCTTCATTTAGTGAAATGAAATTGCATGCGACTTGAGATCATTGAGTGTGCCTTGTTATAGGGGCAGATGAGAGTGGGTTCTGCACACTTTAATATGCCCTTACAACAATTCCTCACCTATTTTTTTTAACGTTTCTCTAGGTTGTCTTTCTTGGGAAGTTTAATGAGTAGCATCTTCCACTAATCAACGGACAAACAGCCTTCACACTTGTAGAAACAAGAAGGCTGTTTGTCCATGCATATCCTTCATTTAGTCAAATGAAATTGCATGCGACTTGAGATCATTGAGTGTGCCTTGTTATAGGGGCAGATGAGAGTGGGTTCTGCACACTCTAATATGCCCTTATAACAATTCCTCACCCATTTTTTAACGTTTCGCTAGGTTGTCTTTCTTGGGAAGTTTAACGAGTAGCATCTTCTTCTAATCAACGGACAAACAGCCTTCACGCTAATAAAGTAGGTGGAACAAATAAATAAGTTTTATTTACTTAATATAAGGTAAATCCGCAATGCATCATCCTTATCCACATTTAAAACTCTCTTATTCCAATAACTCTTTACAATTCAATCAGACGCTGGCTAAATATATATTATGTAATAAGGCTTTAATTTTCTTTATACAGTATTTTTCACATTGAATAAAGCATTGTGAGTAGGTTTAAAGTTTGTTTTTCTTAACTTCTATTTTTCTTATTCATAAGATTGGATTTCTTTCAAATGTGTTTTATTTTCTACATATCTAGAACATACTCCTCTCCTCTATGTGTGTGTTTATATATATATTTTATTTTATTTTTTTCTTCTTCAAATCTTTACTTGTATTCACTTAAACATCTTAGGGAATATATGTAAATAATTTTTTTTTTTTTATATCAACAGTTATAGATTTTTAAATTTTTATATTCCATCACTACAATGCTGTGCTTATAAAATTGATTTAGCATTCCTTTCAAATTTCATTTAGTGATTATTACTTATGTGATTGTTTTAGCTCCAATATTGTAGTATTGCAACCCTATTACCCAACTGTTTTCGTTAATATATCCTAAGAGATATTATTCTTAATTTATTACTAGTATTTTATAGTTATTCCTTATTGTATTAGATCTTTTGGCCAGATTTATTGTTAATTTATGTGAACAATACTGTTATTCTTAAGGGACCAAGTCCCAGAATAAAGATGATTTTCAATTTCTATTTCTAAATAATTCATAACAATGAAAATCTTTAGTCTAAATATATCCTGAATAAAGCTTTTGAGGACATTTCTTCATAGGAATTTTTTTTCTTGTTTTGAGGTCCTTAAGTCATATTTTCAGTTTGGCCACTTAACCCTGAAACAACCTGTATATGTATTTGTGTGTCTTATCCTACACAGAGTAAACACGAAAAAGGTCTCATATTCTCAATGATAAGCATATTGTCATATTGCAATCATCAACATGAGAAATTTTGGAGTAGAAATAACTCCACTGAAGTATAAGATTTAAAAGGTGTATTACACCAACGAAAAGCAAACACAATATTCTCTCACAAACATTTTATCAAAATAACATTTGAAATGATTAATTAAATCAATATATTAAAGTTTACTTTTGATTAAACTGATATCTGATGCTACCAGCTTGCTAATTTGAACATATTTCATATATAGGTAAGTGAAAGTAAAAATATAAATATTTTAGTAAATACTTGTTCAAAGAAAATTAATACCTCTTTGGCAGAGTGATTGAAGCTGGCCTTTTGGAATGAAACAGATGAGCCTCTGACCTGAAGACCATAATGTTGACAATACTCGCCTGCCTCCTTTTCATCCCCAAAAAGCCCTGTTGAGACCAATAGTGATAGTGGAACCACTAAGTTACGGCTGTTATAAGCAACTGACATGGTACCTAAAGCATGCCTGCAATTTTACAATTTAAAATAAAAGTTTTGTGCCTCTTGAATTTTGGTGGAAGAAGTATAAATTTAGCCAATTTATGAAAATAAAAGTGGAAACAGAAATATGTTATATATTTTTTGGAAACACCTTAATTATAAGGATAAAGCTTCAATGTATACTTAATTACATTACATGTTTCTTTACAAAAGCTTCAATATTTTTGACGTAATTTTTTCAAAATGTGCCAATTACTTAAATTCCTAACCAAAAATAAAGTTTTGTTATCTATCAAAAGTCTGATATTATCATTCCTCTTATGTATGATAATTAATTTTTATCAAAAACAGATCCTTTCCAAGATCCTGTATCAAGTGTTTTTTTTAACAAAATATTGAATGCATTGATGTCCCGTTCAGGGTCATAAGAATATTGTAACAACTTTCTTTCCTTCTTAAACAATATTTATAGGAAGAGGTGATTATCCAATTTTATTTTAGCATAAAATTAGAGGATGTGTAGATTTTAAGGTAATACTACAATTAATTGAAAATTTTTTTTTTTTTTGCACTTACATTTATTTATCCGCACCTGTCAATTATTATTGACAATCAGCAGATGTGCTGGCTTAGTAATGAGAGAAAAAAAAAAAATAAAATAAATAAATAAATAAAAAGGCTTGATAGGCATGAGGAATAGCAATACCCAGCGGTATCCCTTCCATGGCTTTTATTTACTAAGATTATTTAAGCAGATCCCTCATCCAGACCCTTTTCAGTCGTCTTCTGGAGTTCTCGGGCATACTAGTTGTGGCCATTTCTTTTACCAGCTGGTTGGAGTGCCCGTTTAACATGTTATGAAATCGTTTGTAGTACGTTCGTATGTGTTCATTGACTGTCGGAACGTGTAGGTCGGTGTGTAAAGTGTGATTGTTTACGTACCATGGTGCTTGAGTGATTAGTCGTAGTATCTTAGACTGAAAAGTTTGAAGTTTATTTATGTGAGTTGGTTTTGCAATTCCGTATATTTGTAGTCCGTAAGTCCAAAGAGGTTTTAAAAGATACGTGTAAATACTTAGTTTCTGTCTTGTTTTTAATTTGGAAGGTCGTCTTAACAGTGTATGTAACAATTTTAGTCTTAGATTTAATGTGATTCGTTTTTTCTTCACATGTGGACCCCATGTCATTCTCCTATCGAACGTAAGGCCTAGGTATTGTACTCTGTCTGTTTGTGGAATCGGTATGTTGTCTAAGTATACAGGAGGGCATGTTTCTGGTCTTAGAGTAAATGTGATGTGCTGTGACTTTTGATAATTTATTTTAGTTTTCCAAAGTTTACACCAATCGAGTATAATTTGTAAGTGATGTTGTAAGTTAAGTGATGCCTCTGTAGGATTGTCGTGCCTGGTAATGATAGCAGTGTCGTCTGCGTAGGTTGCTGTAAGAGTGTGGATACTTTGAGGAATGTCGTGTGTGTATGTGATGTACAGTAGTGGGGCTAGGATTGATCCCTGAGGTACACCAGCTAAAACTGATCGAATTGAGGATAGACCTTGGCCATGTCGAACGGAGAAAAATCTATCTGAGAGAAAGGAATGGAGAATTAAGTAGTAAGTATGTGGAAGTATGGTCTTAAGCTTGAAGAGAAGCCCCTGATGCCATACTTTGTCGAACGCTTGGGCGACATCCAGAAATACTCCGGTTGCATATAATTTCCGCTCTAGTGCTGTAGAGATGTAGTCAGTCACCCTGTGCAATTGTTGTGTTGTTGAATGTAATTTTCGAAACCCGAATTGATGGTCAGGAATAATCTGTTTGTCTGTTAGTATATGTAATAGTCGTGGGTACAATAGTTTTTCGAATAACTTAGAACATACTGGAAGTAAACTAATCGGTCGATATGAAGAAGGGTTGTTAGTGTCTTTGTTTGGCTTTTTAATCATGGTTATGTGTGAGTATTTCCATTGTATAGGAAATTTGGTGGTCCTGAGAATGCAGTTGAAGATTGTGGTAAGGAACACTAGAGCTTTCCTTGGCATTTGCTGGAGCGCCTCAGCAGTTATCAAGTCATGACCAGGGGTTTTTCTTTTGGGCAATTGTCTAATTTCTTGTGCAACTTGTGATGGTGTGAAAGGAGGTGGTGGTAGTGTGAGCTGTAGCGGTATGTCTAAGTTATTATGTGCAAAAATATCGTGTTCTGTATTAATTAAGTCTGTATGTGGTTTAAAAACAGTGGAAAGATGGTTAGCAAAGAGTTCAGATCTTTCCTCGTCCGAAACAGCCCAAGAGCCATCCTCTCTTCGTAGGGGTGCTGACACCTCACGATGCTTTAAAAGATTCCTTGTATGTCTCCATAAACTTCCATCGTCCGTCGAAAGGTTGTTAATAAAATTGTCGTAGTTTGTGCTTTTGAATTTTTGAATATGTCTTTTAAGTTCGTTGTTCAATCTGTTAAAAGTTTGTCGGTCTGAAGGAAGTCTGTTAGTCTGCCATACTTTACGTGCTCTTCTCTTTGCTCTAATCAAGTCCCTTATGTACATTGGATAATGGGTCAAGTTCGCTGCTTTTTGTGGCCTGGATGTTGATGAGGCCCATGCTGCATCTTGTATGCTTTTTGTGAATTTCTCAACAGCTTCTTCTAATTCCTCATGATTTTTAATTGAACCTGGAACGGAAAGATTGGTGTTCAAATAGTCTCTATATGCGTCCCAGTCCATGCAGCCTTTTATGAGCCTAGGTCTTTTTTGTGTTTCGGAAGGCTCATCGAAGAGAACCATGTGCACTGAGGAGTGATCAGAACAAAGATCGGAGGTTGCATTGACGGCAAAAGGTGCGGTTCTTAGTCCTTTTGTAATAAAGAAATCAAGTAAGTCGGGAGTTTTGCGTCTGGAGGTGGGCCAATAAGTTGGTGAATTTGGTGTTACAGTGTCTAATGAAAGTTCATGGAGAACAGACCAGAGATTTCTGCCTCTTGGAGTACACAACCTTGAGCCCCAGCCTTGATGCTTAGCATTATAGTCTCCACCTGCGATGAAGCATCTTCCGAGGCGTTTGAAGAACTCAGAAAACATCGTGGGTGTAAGCTTGTACCTAGGGGGACAGTAAACTGAGGCAAATGTTATAGTGTAGTGTTTAGTGTATAGTGTTATTCCTGTCGATTGTATGTCGGGTGTAATGGGTAAGTCTACGGGATTGTGTTTCAGTGAATTTTTGACGAGTATAGCTGTTCCTCCATGTGCAGTTTTATCTGGGTGATCAGTTCTGTAAATTGTGTAATCCTGGATGTAAATTTTTGATCGGGATGTCAGGTGTGTTTCTGTAATGAGTGCTACGTCGATTCGTTTTTCGTGCAAGTATAAGTCGAGTTCAGTACTGTGCTGTTTCAGTCCGTTGGCATTCCATAGAAGAACTGACAAGGAGCCTACAGTTAAATTATTGTGGGCCATAATTTGGGCACCAGACCTGTGTAACCTGTGACAGTTGTTGAAGAAGAATGAAAAGGGGCTGGATTAGGTTATTTAATCCATTAATTATATTAAATAATTGAGAAGAGCCATTATCTACCGGAGGTATCGGTTGGGTAATGCCTCTCCTCGTACCTGTACATGTTTTCTGGTTCGGGGGTGCTGAACTAGATGATGTTTGGTTTTGTTGTTGCGGAGGTCCTGCGATGATCTGTGGTTCCCCTTGGTTGTGACGTTGCCGTATTGGAGGGAATTCATGCATGCCTGGAGGTCCCTGCGCTGGCTCTGCTACTGTGGAACGCTGAAGACGATTTCTTGCATTACGCTGAAACCTGAGATCTTTCAGCGTCTGGCAGCCTCTGTAATTAGCGGGGTGCTGACCGGCACAGTTGGCGCATTTCGCGGGGGTGTCTCTCGTTTTCAAACATGAGCTGGTTTCATGATATTCACCGCACTTTACACATCATGGTCGATGGTTGCAATAAGTTTTAGTGTGCCCATATTGCTGGCACCGAACACACTGAGGAATATTTCTCTTTTGACGTGGTTCTTCAATTTTAATATGTGAATAATAAAGAAATTCAATAATAAAAATTTCTTCTCTAAATGTCTCTTTTGTAATGTCCACAAAGAACATAGGAAGGGGTTTTTTGAATCTAGTTATGACGTTAACTACATTGGTGGCTTCGTAACCCAACTTTTTAAATTCCTCTTTAATGATATCGATTGGTGTTCCATGGTGAAGATGTTTAACAACAATCCTTGGGCATTTGTCCTGTGGAAGTTGGTAGGTATGGAAGTCGGCGCCTTTATTTCGCAGGCTAGAATTTAATTTTCGATAAACGTCAGGATTTTCTGGGTACACAGTGACACCTTTCAATGTAGACTTAGTTTTAAACATATTAGGACCCGTTTCGTTTTCTAGAAATGAGATTAATGCATGGTAATTTTCAACACCGTTTATAAAAATTGGTGGAGTTTTATTGTTTTGAGGCGCTCTTCTAACTTCTTCTGTTTGTAAATTAGTAATGTTGGTTAGAACCTGAAAACTGTTCGAGGTTGGGATAGATTCTGTCGGTCTTTTTTGAGCTCTTGGCTCGCTCGAATCTATCATAGGTCTTTTACGACCAATAACCAGTTCCCAGGAGCCGTCTTCATTGTTTATATCACTGTTTTTAAAGTTCATATTACTTACCTCAGTTTGAGATGATTCCACCATTGTTGGCGGTGAAATCCGCTCAATCTTTGTTTGGTGTTTTGTCCTTAGCAATCTTGTCTTGATAAAACACTTTTGTTACACAAAAATTAGGTATTTACACTTAATTAACACTTTTTTGGAAGACAATACTAAATTAACCTTTCACCTTATTTAACATCAACAGCTGTTCTCTAAAGATGTATGTCTAATTGAAAATTAATTTAATTTTCAATGATTGCTTCGATCTGAAAGTTTTGTTGTTAGGTGTACAGACAATTACCAGCAATATTTCCAATTTATTTTTTTGATTTAATTGAGGTCCTGCGCTATGTTTTTTTCCCCCAAGACATTGTTATAATTTGTTCTTAATATCATTTCTTTTAAGATCTACTTTTCTTTTATTTATATATTCAATAGTAATCTTTGACAACAAAACAAAAGAAATTGAGATTGATTTTCACATCTTAATAGTCTACTAATAGCTCAATAGCTAATATGTTAATTCTTGATTCTTCTGTAAGCTAGAGACTTTTTTTATATATAAATATAAATAACCTATTATTAAATAACTAACTCACAATATATACCTTCTAATGGTAGGAAAATGTTTAGCGGAAATGAGGGCAGCCAACAGAACAGGCAGCTCTTTGATCTTTCCACATACTCGAACATAATTTCCCATATGCCAATCCAGACTTAATTTTTCAGATTTCACAAGTAGTGGACTTCTAAGGTAAAAAAAAACAAAAAATGGTTTTCAAAGATATTATCAATATCAAGTATAACAAATAAATAGAAAACTAATCTTTCTGGAATTGTTGTTCACAACATCAGGAATTGAAACTGTTATTCACCTATTGTAATAAGTTTAAATTGAAACTGCTCCTCACCTACAGCAATAAGCTTCCTATCCTATTCGAGCATCCACCACTCTTCAAAACCACTTGAATGATACGCTGATTGGGCCACAAGGTGGAAAATTAAAATGAACAAAAAAAAAAAGTGTGTACATAGTTTTTACTCTTAATCATACCCCTTCCCCCGAAATATATTTTAATAACATTGAAATTCCTGCATCCGAGGAAATTTAATATTTGGGTTTTTACCTCGACAAAAGAATAACTTGGAGGACACACATTAGACAAAAACGTAACGAATTAAACAGACGATACGGTCTTTTATCTAGGTTACTTGACAGACACTCAAAATTATCTTTGACTAACAAACTAACACTATATAAAGTTTTACTAAAACCAATTTGGACTTATGGCATAGAACTGTGGGATTCTACTAAAGTTTTAATATTAAAAAAATTCAATCTTTCCAATCCAAAATTTTATGCAAAATAGTTGACGCACCATTTTATGTCGCAAACGATAGATTACATAAAGACTTGAACATCCCAACAATTTCAGACACTGCAAAAAAAAACTACAACAACTTTCACCAAAGACTAACTTACAACACAATTCCTCTGACAGAAAACCTTAAAAGCACTAAAAACCCGTACAGCCCACCTCGACGATTACGTCGATTAAGGCGGTGGCCAAGAGACCTGCTGAACTGAACTATTTCCTGGATTGTAATGGAACGCTGTGAAGCTGCCAAAAAATTTGCTCATTGCAAAGAAATTTGCAGATCGCAAATTTAATTTTTTATGTTAATAAATATTTCTGTCATAAAACATTTTTTAAAAAATATAAAATGCTAATTGCCCAACTATGGTAATCTGCTAAGAATCAATTTTTAAGTTTGATGGCCCATGAGTATTTTTAAACAATTTGACTTAATAATACTCACATGTGATTGAACATATGTTAAATCAGTTTGCTAAAAAACATGTAATAAATTTTTGAGCAAACGACTGGATCGATTTTTTATGATTAATGGTTCAAATTATTCAGTGAGATCCAGTAAGTGTTTTGAAATAATTGGAGCTAAAAATAATGATGCATTATTGAATAAAATTTGCTTAATTGATTCTCTAGAAGTTACCCTTCATACATATTATTTACTAATAATTAATACGGATTGATTTATATTTTGCAGCATTGCATGATAATAAATATATAATTGTTGTCTTCAAATTGCAAACATAGGATTGGTTTACTTTATATTCTAACAAGAAACATGTATTTTAAACATATAGTTAAGTAATTTCAGAAGAGAACAAAGACATATTTATTTCTGCAATAATAAAACATCAGTAATTTATCACAAACTTATTTAATTTATTGGTAATGTATAAAATTGGACCATCAAATATAAAAAAACAAAAACACACCAACCTTCTTTTCGTAGACAAAGAAAAAGATCTCAAAAGTGGGTGGATGTTGCCAAGATTCAAAAGTAAATATAATGCTTCAATATCCGATGAAGGCATTTCACTGGATTCATCAGCAACTCTTAAACTAGCTTTTAAACATTCAAGAAGCTGGACGTCATTAAGGTAACTATCAAAACCAGGGAGCTCACTATACCTAGGATAAATAATAGTAAAAAAAAAGAAGGTCACCAGTTAGATTTAAATGATAATGTAAAGAATTTAATATTATCTAATATTGAACAGATGAAGGAATTTAATATTATCTAATATTGAACAGATAGTCACAGACTTAAGGAGGAAAAATAAAATTTGTGAGCTATTTCAGTTAAATGAGGATAGTTTCATTGTTTAATTAAATTATCAATTAAACGTTCACGCTTATAGAAATTTCTATTTAATCCTTCAACATTATAGTATACAGAATACAATCATAATGAATATCTCTAGTTAATTACAAAAGTCATTAAGTAACATTCATTAAAATTAAACATATTGTATTAGTACTTCCATGAATTTTACTACTTTGAAATAAAAAAATCATCAGACAACTTTCACTAACCAAACTTTTTCTTTATAGGAAATGAGTATTTTCACACAAAGGGAAGTGAAAGGAAAAATTACGGATGGTACAAAGTATAATTCAAAACAATAAAATAACAAATGATTTTCACAGCTGTCTATGTATTATATTTATGTTTTTTGTTTTTTTTGTCACTAACCATTTCCTTTTACAACTGCATATTTTAATTGTTTATTAGATTATAATAACTAATCAAGAGCCACAAAATATTTTTAGTCTGACAAGAGTGCCATTGATAAAAAGGGCCGCTGTATTAATTTATATGTCATTGTAGATATTTTTATTTGTTTAAGTATTGGTATATATACAAATTTTAATTTTTACATTGCTGTAATTTATACAATTAAATATCAAACAATAAGAATGCCAGCATTTATAAAAACTGCACATATATATACATATTACATTATCAGAACCCATATTTTATTAAGCATATGATATGTATAAAAGCCTGTTCTAAACTTTCAGCCAAGCTCGGGTTCATGCATGCTTCTTTGCTATCATGATCCCTTATTTCTCCTTTAGTCAATTATAAAATTCTTTCATATTTTATATCAGGTTACAAGGTTAAACAGTTAATTATTTAAATTAAATTAATTAAATTAAAGGCGCTTTAAAGGAAGAAATTTTGAAAAGTAGGCATTAAGTTCAGTTTTAAGAACATAAATGAGAATAAGACCTACATAACATTACATTACAAAACTGCTCAATTTTACACTGATATTATAAATTCAATCAAAATAGTAAGAGCCGTTTTTAATAAAATTATGTTCAATTGAGGAAATAAAGTGACACTTTCGGTTAGCCAATTTTTGACAAAAAAGTTGCTTTAACAATACAGACAAATATAAACTATTTAAACAATTAACAACTGAAAACTGCACAAACCTTACAACCTTAAATGCATAATATCAGTTTCTTATAACTTTCTGTTTTTGAGCTAGACTATTCAGACAGACAGGCAGACACACGCACGCTCACACACACCCGCGCACACACACACACACACACACACACACACACACACACACACACACACACACACGCACGCACGCACGCACGCACGCGCGCGCACACACACACACACACAGGCAGAAAAAAATTATGTGAGATTTGATTATTTGGACTCATGGGACTTCAAAACGTGAATTTTTATTGAAAACTCTGATTCGAAATTTTTCATTATTGCAATACTTTCATTAACTAAATATTTCAAATATAGGGTAAGTAAAAGTAATATTGTGCTAATAGTGTAAATATATCAAAGTTCATAATGTCATTATAGTGCACCTATTATTATTATTGCACTTATTACCATTGAGGACAACTGGCAGGCTGGATATGTACACGAATTCTACGCAGACATTAGGAAAGAAAGGATAGGATATAAAGAGAGAAATGTGCAAATGAGAGGCAGAAGATGGCATTCTGACGGCATCTAAAGAAAAGATATTGAATACCTGGAAAGAATATTTTCAGGAACTTCTCAATTAAGGGGACACCACGAACGAAGAAGACATGGACTATACTGAGGACCTTGACACAGAAGAGGTTGAAAAACCAGATATACTGGATGTATAAATAGCTATCAAAAGGCTCAAAACAAGAAAGGCTCCAGGAATAGACAACCTACCATCAGAACTGTTTAAAGATGGAGGAGCCGACTTAAGAGCCAAGCTACTACAAATAATCCAGAAAATGTTAAAAGAGGAAAGGATACCTGAGGCGCATGGAATACAGGCCTAATCTATCATATCCTAAAGAAAGGCTCCATGTGTGATTGTAGTAATTACAGAGGCATAGCACTCCTTCTGGATTTTTGCAAGATAATGACCAATATCCTACTGAACTGGATATATCTGTATATCCGTTATCCGTACATTATATACGAGAATATAATAGGTGACAGCCAAGGTGGATTCAGAAAAGGGAGGAGCACGCTAGACCAGATGATCATCTCAAAACCAGTACGCAAAAAACAATGGGAAGTAACTAAAGGATGTCTACGCCCTATTTGTTGATTTCAAATCAGCCTATGATTCTGTGGATAGGAGCTGTCTTTGGAAAATCATGACTGAACTGAGAGTTCCCGGTAAGTTGGTGAGAGTGACAAAGGCGTGTACAAATGATCCCAAATGTAGAATCCTAATACAAGGAGAAGTATCTGAAGCCTTCAAAGTTCAAACAGGCTTATGGCAGGGAAATGGACTATGCCGAAAATTCCATACCAATAACAGAATCTGCGTAGAAGGAAAATCATTCCTGAGAGTAGAAAAATTCAAATACCTCGGCTCCACAATAACCTCAATGAATGATCAATGGGCAAAAATAGACCAGCGTATAACTAGCACAAATCAGAGGTATTAAAAACTCAAATAAAGGGTGTATAATGCTAAGATAAAGCAAGTTCTAATATATGGAACACAAACCAACATCCTAGACAAAAGTGTAGAAAGATTTGAGAGAAAAATCCTCCACACGATAATTGGAGCTATCTGGGATCTGAGTACCAACACAAGAACAACCAATAAAGAATTGCTTACAGAAACTGGGCAATCAATATCCCATGATATGAAGGCATGGAGGTTAAGATGAGCATGTAGCTTGTAGCAATCCATCTGGAAGCCTCTACGTAACAATGAATGCCCCAACAGAAGGCAAAAGAGCACGTGGAAGACCAATAAGCAGATGGACAGATAGAGTCAACAAAGATGCAATAGAGCTGCATGCAGGAAAATGAAAAGAAATCCCAAGCCCAAGACAGGCAGAGATGGAGCAGGCTTGTTAAGGCGACAAAAGATCTACATGGTCTGTAATGCCAAAAGGAAAAAAAAATCGCACTTATTATATTTTTGTATCCATAAATAAGGTTGAAATTCACAAAAACATACAAATAAGTTTAAATTCATTAGAAGTGTACATAATAACTTTTTGCAATTAAACGGCAATATATTATTTTGAATTTTATTAAGAAGTCTTCAAATCACAAAAATCTAACTGAAGATAATACAACCCAACAAGTAGAACAGATATTTTAAAGATATTTAGGGCAACTCAATTAAATCTAACTTACCAATATGTTGCCCAAGCATAGAATCTAATAATTGGCTCTAGTATAGGAAGGACAATATGCCCAGGGCATTGCTGCTTAAAAAGGTCCTGTCGAACAGACCGAAGTCTGTTCTCAACAAAGTTGTAAGCATCCAGGGAGGCGTCTACTGGTAAAATGCTACAGAAAACATAATATACATATATATATATAATTAAAGAAAGTAGTCCTCAAATTCACAAATCTAAGAATGTTTTAAAAATATATAGGATCTTATTGAACTAAATCTAGTATTTACCAGTTAAAAAGGTATGTAATAGTGTGCTGAAGTACTTGTGGAGGCCTTATTGACAGAGAGCAATCTTGTTGCTTACCTGCCGCTGATCGTTGGAACTCCTTGACAGGTAGCAAATTGCATCCTATTTCCAATCTATGAAGCAGCCCTTCTCTTTTTCTCCTGGCAAAAAAAAAAAAATAAAAATATTAAATACTCTATTCACGCTGGTGACCTCTCTCTTAAGCTCCTAAATATCTACAATTCTCTCTTTCTTCTGGAAACATTTGGTAAATTTCAGACAACCTGTTTAATTTAGTGTCAAACTCAAACAAATTGATAACATTGGATAATATAATCCAAAAAGTCTTAAAAGCAGAGCTGTATATAGAATCAACTCAAGGACCTAATCCAGTGTATTAGTTATAAAATAAAACATGGACATTTACTGGATTCCTGAGGATTAGTCTTGTTATAATAACAATTACGGTACAAAAAAACTCTTATTTATATTCAAATTTAATTATTAAGAAATAAAAAATACAGCTAAAATATGTCAAATATACTGTAATATTTCCTTATTTTTTTAATAATAATAAAACTTCCGAAGATTACTTCATACTGTAGCGATACTTCCAAAAGAAATGAGATTCTTACATTAAAAAAAAAAAAAAAGAATATTAATATATTAAATTGAAATTTAGACTTATTTTAGATTTAGAATTATTCCAACCCTGTGTGATTTTAAAATAAAGTCAAGTATGAATTAGTAAGCTAACCTTTTGTATATATCCACAGTTTCTTCCTTTGTGAGACTGAATTCATATGTCTTCACTTTCCAAAAAATTTCATCTACTCCCTAGGAGATCCTATCTCTTGTAGTACCAAAGAACAAGTGACCGGCCAAACAACACCTGCTTCCCCCATCAAAAATCCTTTGTTCCTCTCTTCTTTGTGATTTTGTTTATGGTTAAACTACAGAGCAGCCATTTACTTTCCCCTGAACTAGTGAAACTATTTTTCAAATTTAAACATCCCTGACAATAGCATAGTTAGATTATCTTGCCTTTTAACTGTTCAACATTAATTTACTTAACCATTTTAACCAAACATTGTTTTGTGTATATTACAATACTTTATAAATTGATACAAAAAGAAAATGCATTATTCTTACATTAGAATCCTTCTTTGACCTCAGTGAAATAAACAACTTATTCTTGGGATGAGATTGATCATGGAATTTACTCATCAACACGTTGTGAAATAATTGGTAAACAAAGTTTACATAAAATGTCACCATTCCAATATTTCATACAAAAGATGTTCCTACGTGTATTCAATGTCAAGTAATTTAAAGATTTGACTTTTACAAAAAAAAATTAAGAAAATTGCCATATTCAAAGAAACAATAGTCACATTTTCAATTCCTAACAAAATTATAAGAATATCGCTATATTAAATTGAAATTTAGAATTATTTTATCTTAGGTATGGGTTACTGACAATCAGATCAAAAGACTCAGTGAGGCTAAAATAATTTACACTAAACACTGTTTGATTTTAAAATAAAGTCAAGTATGAATTGGTAAGCTAACCTTTTGTATATATCCACTGTTTCTTCCTTTGTGAGACTGAATTCATATGTCTTCACTTTCCAAAAAATTTCATCTACTCCCTAGGAGATCCTATCTCTTGTAGTACCAAAGAACAAGTGACCGGCCAAACAACACCTGCTTCCCCCATCAAAAATCCTTTGTTCCTCTCTTCTTTATGATTTTGTTTATGGTTAAACTACAGAGCAGCCATTTACTTTCCCCTGAACTAGTGAAACTATTTTTCAAATTTAAACATCCCTGACAATAGCATAGTTAGATTATCTTGCCTTTTAACTGTTCAACATTAATTTACTTAACCATTTTAACCAAACATTGTTTTGTGTATATTACAATACTTTATAAATTGATACAAAAAGAAAATGCATTATTCTTACATTAGAATCCTTCTTTGACCTCAGTGAAATAAACAACTTATTCTTGGGATGAGATTGATCATGGAATTTACTCATCACCACGTTGTGAAATAATTGGTAAACAAAGTTTGCATAAAATGTCACCATTCCAATATTTCATACAAAAGATGTTCCTACGTATATTCAATGTCAAGTATTTTAAAGATGACTTTTACAAAAAAATATTAAGAAAATTACCATATTCAAAGAAACAATACTTACATTTTTAATTCTTTCATGGGACACATATCCATACATTTGCCGACAATGAATGTTCCTTCCATCTATAAAAAAAAATTGTAAATATAAACTATTTGATTTATTTCAATGAACGAGTTCGGAAATAACTGATATGTTAAAATAATACAGGATATTTACACTCCTTAGGAACATAATCTACATGTTTCCACATATATAATAATATACAGATTTAAATTTGTAATTTTTGCTCAAATAAACCTATTTACATTGTAATTTATTCCAAATCAGATGAAAATAGACAAACAATAAAGAAGAATAAAATCGTAAGTAACTACATTAAATTTAATAACCTCATAAATAGGTTTATTAGAACAAGGAAAACAATGCTTTTATGTAGTTTTTATGTAATCTGAAAAAACTTTCCATAACAGAATAAAACAAATGATGGATAATTGGTGACTGAAGAAGATACATTAAATAGAAGTTGGTTGAGGTTTGCAGTGAATGAAAATTAGAAATAAATAAATTACATAATTACATTTATGTTTATTTCCTTTGTTCTGTTGTTTCATCCTAAATTTCAAGCCTTCATCAGAGCTAAGCAAAGACAAGGTATTGAAATATAAATATTGAGAAAATAGTATTAATATATGTGTAAAAAGTTATAGTAAAATAATAATATATAGAACTTAACACAGCATTGCAATGGTGTATCATTAATGAACACACTAGTAGTAATATTACTATTATAATACAATCATTTAATTTGGCCGGTATTACTGTGGAACATGAAATTTCAGTCACAGCTTGAACCTTAAAAAAAACTTTACTTACCTTTAATTATTGATCAGAGTAGAATATTAGGAAGAATTAACTGAACTTAAGAAAACCATGTTGTTTGAATTGGGTAACCGTACTGAGAAGGTTAAGCCGCGAATTGATGTTGTTGACTCCAATGTTGCCAAAACAATAGTTTTGTTAAACAATCAGGGTTAAACCATCTGCTTGGTTATTTATGGTTCAAAAATTCCTCATAAAGCATTGATTTCCAAATTACATTTCTTAAAGTAATTTTGTCCAAAAAAAAAAATCGATAGTTTTGAAATGAGCTGCACGAAAACTAAGAGTTGGGCAGTGGAAACCACAGAGGGGGGGGACAATATGAGATGTGTTAGTGAAATTGTTGGCGGAGAGGGTCAAAAAGCAACATTTATAGATTGTTCAGTAGGGGGGAGGGATCGTTTGAAAATAAAATGGGAAAATTAGAATAGTTTTATTGCCCAATATGTTATAAACTCAATGTTATAATGATGTTATAAAATCAATGGGAGGTCAATTCTTCTATCCTTCGGAGCGTTATTGGAGATGGGTTGTTGAAAAAGCTTATTCGACTTAGTTTTCGGAATAACGAAAGTCACACTTTTCTCCTCTGAATCTACCATACTTAAACCAAATGGACTTTCTAGTAGACAAGCCAGTATTAAATGTGAATGCAGCAAATCCCATACAAAATAGTGGTCAATAGGCAGAGCAATGAAAAGTAATACAAGGGAGTTATGGAAATAGATACACAATAAACGCTCAGACAACGAATATATTGAGAATTTATAAACTTCTGAACCGCTAATACATATCTTTCCGCTGATACATGTTCTTTCCAGTGTATGAGAGCTCAATCAGTTTTAAAAAATATTAGGCTCTCTTCACCTGGTCCTGATCACATTCATTGTCCCGTGATACAATACCTACCAAGCAACATGTTAACCTGGCTATCCAAGCTTCTGTCTCCAAATATCAGTTAGTTCTAATTTTGAATAATAGTCTAGATAAGAGTTATAGATCAATTTTCATAACGTATACAAAGTTATGGGGCGTGTATTGAATAAAAGACTTACCTAGACTTTAGAAAGCAAACATCATATTTAAGTTTCTGACACTTGAAGTCGAATATCGACCTTTTTTTATCATCAACAAGCTATGGTTATTTTTTTCGACAGGCATTAAGCATTCGATAAAACGTATGCTACCATAATATACAATAAAAAACACACAAGGAGCTCACTAGCAAGAAGCAAACGGGAACTAGCCCTATCCCAGTGGATAGGCAGAAGATTCCTTCTAATGGCGTACATAATGGCAATGCAATCAACGCGAAGCATTGCGGACGCAAAGGCTGTGGACGAGTGATGCGCGGTACATAGAAATTTCAATCAAATGAAAAAAAAAAGTATTAAAAACATTATTTACTGTAAGCGTAATTTACTGTGATTACTATATTTAAAATTGAGTTTGAAAACTGCTGCGAGGTTAAGTCTAACTTAATTATGCTCCTGTTTCGTCCTCAACCATACGTGCAGTAGTGGATTCAAAATTTCTTCATTATTATCAGAAATTGTACAATTTAACTTTGGGAATAATTTAATGTTCTCCAATTTTTTAAATAGAACATTTTTCGCTTCGCTGCATCTCTTAGAAGCTATAGGTGAAAAAACAAAAAAAAGATTGAAAGAATGGCGTTAGATTTTCCTTTGGGTGGTCAGTGTTAGAAATTTTGTTCTTTTTTACATTTGTAAATCCATATATAGAAATTAAAAAAATAAAACTTTTCTCACATTTTTTTCAATGAATTTACCGTGTCGATCCTCAATTTACTGACCTAATATTCTTTAAGTCAGTCGCCATTTTTGAAAGCACCGGCTCTGGAATTTCAGACAAGGTTCATTTTACTTATAGTAACAGGTCGATTTTTGGACCTTGGCTCCAATTGGATGTATACAGATTACTCGAACGAAAAAACTAATAAATGAAAAAATGTCAAATATTTTTGTTTCTTATACCTTTTTAAAATAGGGGATACTTTGAGGTGAGCAAAAATCGAATAACAAAATTTGCGAGACGATAATAATAAGTTGTTTAAACTTATCTGAATAATTTTCAAATAATACACGTCAAATCCAACCATTTGAAGCAAAAACTAAAATACGTATACTATCTTCGGGCTTAACGCACATTTTATTTATACGGATATAGGTTTTACACTACTTTCGTACTTTCATACTACATTCAACGCCACCAACATAGTATATTCTTATTCATGATAAAAAGAGTGATATAGTGACAATTCATATTTTAGTATATGCATCCATTGATATGCATTTTATTATTTGAGCATTTCAGTTGAAATAATGACTAACTCCAATTTAAAAATGTTTAATCATTAATTTGAGTGATATTTTGAGTGGGAAAAATTATACCTCCATTCACAATTCTATATTTCAATCACCTTCTATAATGCAATCGTCTACTCTGGAATCAACTTACTCACTGTCCGTACAGATATAAATTTTCCAAGTAGAAATATCACTTCTGTCAACTGAAAAACTCATTTTATAATCTAAATCCTTTGGCAAAGATTACCAAATTATCATTCAAATAGAGGATTATCTAGAATAAGACACACACACAGAAATACACTGACAGGCAAAAAATTCCACCCATTTGATTTTTTCATGTTTTCACCTAAAAATATTTCTTCTTTGGATTGGTCTATGGTTTTTAATGAATAAATAGGTAATCTTTTTGTTTGTTTTCAATTAGGAATGTTAATATAGAGGAAAATAACCCTTAATCCTTAATTCAATGAAATGATTCTAGATTCCAATGTTTCCAGGATTCCAAGATTCCAAAACGAACCATTAATATTCTATAAGAAATTAATTACATCATCATTTAGTAGCGCGTGTTTCCTCCTCTTCCCTTCACTACTTCTTGAAGACGCCTCGGCATACTATCCACCAGACGCGAAATGTCCCTTTGCTGGAGGATAGCCCATTCCTCCCGATGAGCCCTTTCAAGGTCCTGCATTGTATCAGGAAGTGTTGCACGTGCTGGCCAGGCTAAAACCTCTATATTGTTCTATTGAAGGAACGTCTGGACTATGCGGACGACATGTGGAAGTGCATTATCGTGCTTAAGAATAGAACTTTCGTCGATTTCATTGATAATAGGCAACACATGAGGTTCCAAAATCTCATCTATATAGCTAATGGCCTTCAAAGACCCTCCACGAACAACAACCAATTCTGTGCGGCGCTCCATTGAAATCCCAGTCCACACTAATAAGGAACCACTTTGGAAAGGTTGGCTCTGGGAAAAATTACAGGCTGCATAACTTTCTTTTCTTCTTCTCCACACCCTTTCACGCCCGTCTGGAGATCGAAGAGCGAATCTTGACTCATCTGTAAAAAGTACAGCACTCCATTCGTCCATAGTCCAATGGCTGTGTTCTCGAGCAAGAGCCAGCCGTGTTACTCTGTGAGTTCTGGTCAACTCTGGTCCTCTTACTGGACGAAAAGCCATTAATCCATACTCATTTAATCTTCTCCGAGCGGTACGTTCAGAAATTTGCACACCTCGAACTTATTCGAGCTGATGAATCGCTTGAACAACGGTAAGATGCCGGTTTCGTAAAATTCTCAGTCAAAAACCGGTCATCCCGTGGTTCTGTTACCCTAAGCCGTCCAGAACCGGGCCTTCTATTGTAAGAACCAGTTTCCTGAAAACGCCTGACGGCGTCTCGTAAAGTTTCATATGGAACTCCGATGGCATTAGCTGCATATCTAATGGAACGTCCATCATCAATAAGTGCCACATCACGCGCAACATTCTCAGCAATAAGAGGCATTTTTAAACTTACTATTGAAAAAAATTAAAAGCTGGAGACTAAGAAATGTGCTGCAAGAAACGGCACTGAACTAATAATACTGAATAAACATTTTGATTCCATAGAAAGTAAACAATGGAATCTAGAATCATTTCATTGAATTAAGGATTAAACGTTATTGTCCTTTATATTAACATTCCTGATTGAAAACAAACGAAAAGATTACCTATTTATTCATTAAAAACAATAGACCAATCCAAAACAGAAATATTTTTAGATGAAAAAATCAAGTGGGTAGAATTTTTTGCTTGTCAGTGTATATACCTGTATACACATTACAAAGTAATGCGCGGCGGAGCATCAACCCTATGTTGTCATTAAGTATCTATGTTATACATGCTAAATGTGTTAAAGAATGCGCTAACTAGAATCCTATTGTTTTATTGCATAATGAGCCTGCTTCTTGAGATTATATAACCGGTTCCGTTTCATCTTCATGGGGAAGTTCACGCTAGTTACTTTGAGAAACTTCAATTCTTCCTAGCCTCTACTTCTCGGTCTATTCTTACCGATGCAAAACAAAAAGACAATTCCGGAAGTTAGGAACCTTACTAAGCATTTTATTGATTACCCACCAGATGAAGGAAATCAGTTAACTTCATTAGTATTGGTTTTATAAGACCCGCTAATGCTCAGTGTTTGTATTTTTTTTTTCAAATTAAAATTAAAGAACAGGGGTGATAATAAATGTAGTTATAAATGAAATAAATTAAAGTTGACATTTTAAAATCTTGTGTGGCTCTGCGTTCAATTTAATACTGAACAGGGATGCCCAGGAGGATATGGCGATGCGCAAGTTGCAAGATAAAAATTTTTGACGGTGTACAATTTTACTAAGTTTCGTATTTTTAAGGGCGGGCAATTTTGAGGCTGTTATAAAATTTTAGAAGGAACCATATTTTTATGGGGTTTCAATTTGGAATAACTTTCAAACTAGGGTACATGGAACAGACCACAGCAAGTTTGTCTATGAGCTACCTTTTTTTCTAATTCTACTATCTCTTGCACTACTTTTAATAAGAGGATAATTTATCTAGATTTTCGATATAAGCTACAAATAAAAATCGAAAAGGCATTTTTTAAATTATTAAATGTTTAATGAATAAGTGGGTGGCGTGGAGGATTATGAATATTATAATTTTAGTATTCAGAACTACATGATTAATTTATTTTTATATAGAAAAAATTGGATTATGAAACTATGAAAATTTAATACAATGTTGGTGTTATCTAGGCACGATTTTCAGAAACATAATTCCAACTTTTTTTCACGGTAAATATTTAAGTGTAGATTGTTAGTAGTTGTAGTAACCAATGACCAGGAATGCCTTTTGCATATAATGCTAATTATTTAATTTATCACAATAAAAATCTGCTTAATGTCACTATCATGACATTATATTTTAAATGTTACAGTTGACTGTTATATTTTAAAATTACAATATGATGGCCAACTAAAGGTGAATTGTGATATTAATAAAATGATTATTGGTTTTTGCTTTTGCTTATTTTTCGCATTCTATTACCAATTGTTTTTATAAGTTTATTAAGAGCATTGATTTATAAAACCAAGGAGCCATAGGTTCCTCTATTAGTATCCAAAAGTACACCAGCTATTAGTATCAATCAAGGTTAAAGATTTTAATCTGAAATCGTGACTATTTCTAGAAGCAGTTATCAGCTTATAACAGAACTGACTTTATATTTAAACTCATCCTGTGTGGAGAGCTGGTCAACAAGATAATTTCGGCCGATTTTTATTTAACTCACATCAGTATACCAATTTTTGTCAGAAATTTTAGTCAATTTTTTTATAAGGTTAGCCGACGTTCCGACCCAAACATGTGGGTCACCACCAGGACTACCGTTTGGAAGTTTTGTCTCGAATTCCGATGATGATGATCCACACGTTTGGATTGAAACGTCGGTGAACCCAATAAAAAAATTGTGACTGAAATTCCTGACAATTTTGTTACATTCCTAGAATTGATCAGTCGATTACTT